ACCAAGTGCCCTCTCTGTGTATTAACTTCCAGGTTGTATTAAGTTTCCTGGGCCCATAGCAAAGTCTCATGTCCTTCTAGTTCACCATGCAGTTAGCAATAGGTTTCCTATAGCTTCTTTATGGAAGAGGACTCCACTACATTGATTTTTAGGACACTGGTGTTTAATATACAAAAGGGAATCTAAGTTACTGATGACCTTCCACCCTAGAGGCATCAGACTCAGGCTCATGATGAGCAAAGGTAGAGCTGAGGAAGTGGCTTCCCACCTAACAGGGCAGCTGTAGAGGACGGACAGACAGACAGCAATAGTAGGGAGGGGTGCCCAAGGCTCGGTTCTGGTCTAGGCTCGGCAAACACTTTCCTGGAGGTGGATCCCACCACACACAGCTGGCTCAGGCCACTGGGGGCTCCACAGTGTAGAGTTTGCATAGGGCCCCCCTAAGTTCAGGGTGCAGGGCCTCTTCCTGCCTTTTTGTGCAGAGAGGGGGCAGCTGTGCAGCGCTGTGGATTCACTGCTGGCACAGAAGTACACAGATGTCTGGGAGGGAGTCGCTGACTCCAGGGTGAGGGGGAAGTCCCCTGTTTTTGATCTAGTGACACTGTATCCTTCGGGGACATCTCCTTTTTCAGTGGCCCCAACACCGACTGAGTAATGGATCAGTCTCATCCCTTGGCCCATGTCTTGTCGATACCAGCACATATAGTTGTGGTTCATATCTTGGGTACATTTCAATGTCACTTTCTGTCCTGTTTTCCAGATCTGAAATTTTGGGGTCTGAGTGATGTCAGCGTTCACCAGACCTGTGGAGAAAAAAAATAAATTGATGCTGCAGCCCCCACGGAAAGACTTAGTGGTAGAATCTTCAAATTTTTATCCACGGGAAAGACCCAGCCAGTTCTCACCTGCCTGCAGGAGACAGAAGGCCATACAGCTCAGGCGGCAGAGAGCCATGGCAGGGACTGGGCAGAGAGAATTTTCCTCTGGGTCTGTGTGCTGATGAAAGGGAACAGGGCTCTCCAGGGAGACATTCTGAGATGTCACGCTCACTGCCTGGAGCCCAGAGACAACGTGTCACCGGAGCCACGCCCCTTCCCCCAGAACATCAAATCAAAAATTAGCCCAGCTGTTGTAGTTCACTGGTTGAGTGTAGAACTATGACCCAAAAGTACCAGTTTGATTCCTGGTCAGGGAACATACTCTCATTGAGGGTTCAATCCCCATTAGGGAGTATGTGAAAGACAGCTAACCAATGATTCTCTCTTATCATTGCTGTTTCTATCCCTCTCCCTTCCTCTCTCTGAAATCAACAAAAATATATTTAAAAAATAAATGTACAAGTGAACAGCTTAGAGTGAAAAGACTGCTTTGGGCTGAATTAACACAAGTCTTACAAGTAGCTCTTAATCTTTTGACAATAGTTACACCAAGTGTAACTATTTAGGTGTGTTTTCTTTCTGTGATATAAATCTTCATTCATACTTTGGTTTTGTGTATCTACATATTTCTGTACTTTGGAATCTTCTGGAAAATCCTGATGGCTTTGTGATGTCTTTTCTATCACATGGATCCCAAATAGTCCTTCAAACATCCCTTTCTACTTTACTTAATTGACCACCATCCCATCAATATCCTTCTACCCACAAAGATCTTCTTGCTCTCTGGTTGTCAAGCCCCAGGGGCAGGCTTGTCCATATTGGAGGAATCCTTTCCCTCTGCTTCCTATCAATTCACTGTCATGTGGGACACCTGCCAAATGTAGCCAGAACACCTTCATATTCCCCAGAGCATTTGCTTCACATGTTTGGGGTGAGACAATGGCAAGCAGATCCAGCTAATACCCGTGACCAACCTTTCTTTGTGGCTGCTCAGCTCTGCAGATGACCTACTGGCACCATGGATTACAGCCGTGTTAGGGCCGTGGGGAGATGTGGCCAACTCCAGGGTGAGTGAATGAAAAAATGTTATTTTATAGTTTGAGATATCCATTCCACAGGGACTGTCTCCTTGCAAAGTATCACTGACTTAAATAATAAATATAATGGCTCTTAAAAACCCTGTAGCTAATCTACACACAGTCCCATGCTTAGAAGGATGCCACACTTACTTCAATGCCCTGCTGTCATTATCTTCAAAGTATTACTTTTTGGACCCCAGATTCTGCCAGTTGTGTAGCTGGTCTCAACTACATAAATTTTAGTTTCAAACCTGTGGTCACCTCCTGGAATGCTGATTTCCCTTTAGCACAACCACATCCAGGCCTAGGAGAGGAGGACACAGAATCTAAACTCAGAACTGGAGGAGGAGCCTAATGTTGGAAGCACAATGACAAGCCTTGAATTGGGGCCTGGCCAGCCCCACAAATGGGCTCTATGTTTGTCCCAGGACTTCTCTGGTCCTGGACAAAGATGGACACACAGCACATAATAATGGCACTCATGCAAGCACAGAACACAAAGGGGGATTTTCCAGCTCAAGATTCCTGTTTTGTGGATTAGACCCTGAGGTCAAGGTGAGGGAATCCTCTTCCCAATGTAAAATGATCTCTCCATGAAGTCACTTTCCCCGTGGACCTCAGTCCCAGCTCACAATGTGTAAACATGTGTATCTGATGGGAACTCAAAAGTATTTCCTTAGATATGATGACTTTTGCCAAAATATCATTACAATATAATTAGAATGAATGGGCACAAGAAATGAGTGAAAATCAGTAAATACATTTTATAAAAATAGCTTTACCATCTGGAAAGACCTTGTGAGGGTCATTCTATCAAACCGTCTAGTCCCAGGTAGAATTGTTGCTGACGTGGATCAGGTGTCTTTATCCATAATGCTCTCCAGGAGTACCTCATGCTCTTAAATACTTGGCTGTGCACTAATGAGGATTTGTTTTAATAGGTAGAGATGATAAATGTATATTAAAAAGATGCCTAAGCTGCCGAAACCGGTTTGGCTCAGTCAGTGTGGTAGAGCGTCGGTCTGCGGACTGAAAGGTTGCAGGTTCGATTCCGGTCAGGGGCATGTACGTTGGTTGCAGGCACATCCCCGGTAGCGGGTGTGCAAGAGGCAGCTGGTTGATGTTTCTCCCCCATCGACGTTTCTAGCTCTCTAGCTCTCTCCCTTCCTCTCTGTAAGAAATCAATAAGATATATTTTTTAAAAAAAAAGATGCCTAAGCAAAACTAATCTCTAGAGATAGAAATCATGTCATTGGTTGTCAGTGATGGATTGAGGCATTGCAAAGGGACATGGGAGAACTCTCTGGGTGATGAAAATGTTCTCTAGCTTTATGAGGAAGTGTTAAAAGCATTTATATCTATACAAGAGGCCCGATGCACAAAATTTGTGCAAGAGCAGGCTCTCCTTCCCCCAGCTGCTGGCACCTGGGACCTGGGCTTCCCAGGTCCAGTTTAATAAGCATATTATGCTTTTTATTAATACAGGGTGTCCCCAAAAATGTATATATACTTTAACAGCAGATAGCTCAATTGATGTTTCTTTCTTTTGAGATTTAACCCAATGGAATTAATAATTATTCAAAATGTGTGTACATTTTTAGGACACCCTGCATATGATTCAAAAGTCATTGCTCTCTTCACTTAAAGTCTGTAATATTCATTGTATATAATTCACATCAGTAATAGTTATTTTAAATGCCTAAGGACAGATGTATGTTACGTGCTCTAGTGCATATCATCTAATGGATCATCAGGCATAAATACTAGCATTTATGTGATGTCTAAAATCCTGAACTATATAGAGTTTCTAGATAAAGTATGTCTGTATCTACTTTGCACATAAGATATGGTAGGGAAAGCTGTCAGAGATTAAAAAAGGGACTCAAGATCCAGATTCCAATTATGTCCTATGTTAACCTTATTGTATCTATACAACCCTGGGCTATGGTCTGATGGTTAATTAAATGTGTCAGCGGGACTAGACCATGAGGTTCGCAGATATTTGGTTAAACATTGATCTGGATGTTTCTGTGAAGGTGTTTTTGGATGAGCTTCATGTTTAAATCATTAGATTCATGTTTAAATAATAACTTAGACCTTACAACTCTCAAAGGCAAAAAAACCAAACATTTTTATTTTCTGTTTTATGTGATACAATTCCTTGTACAAAATATAGGAGCAGAAATTATTGAACAAAAAGAACAAAGGAAGGAGTAACCATTATTCTTCTTCCTTCCCTTTGTGGCCATTGTGTCCCATGCAGGAAGGCTGTTCTTCTCACAGCAAATATCTCATCCCCTTTGTGCTGCAGCTAGGAAAACACATCTGGAAAGCTTTCTGCTCACACAAACCCCATGAAAGATGTCAAACAGCCTAGGTGTGGGTGGGGGGCCTGCAGTATAGAAAACAGTGCCTTTCTTTTTTTAAAATATATTTTTATTGATTTTTTTTTTTTATAGAAAGGAAAGGAGAGGAATAGAGAGCTAGAAACATCAATCAGCTGCCTCCTGGTGACGTGCCCGCAACCAAGGTACATGCCCTTGTCCAGAATGGAACTTGGGACCCTAGAGTCTGCAGACCAATGCTCTATCCACTGAGCCAAACCGGTTTTGGCAACACTGCCTTTCTTTGTTGTGATAACGAATGGTCAAGGGATATGCATTGCCTTCAGATGTTCCTGAAGCCATCAGGGGAGAGGTTCCAACAAGCCTCTATGATGAGAGATCTTCTCAGGCCTATAATCTTGACCTGGAAAAGGGAAGTCAGATGCGGTACATGCTGGGGGCTGGGGAACAACCACAGGAATTGAGGAACAAACTTGAGTTTGATTTCTTGCTCTGCCAGTTATGAAATAGGAAACCTGGGAATGTCACTTACCATCAGATAGAGAACAGGTGAAAAAAAAGTATTTCTGTGGCATGATTTCTGTGAGCGTAAATACACATCATATCTACAAGCAGCAGAAGGATGCTTGAGAGAGGCAGTCTGCTCTGCTTAGGCCTGCGCCTATGTGGCTGGCAGCTGCCACCCTCGCAATCACTTCCTAAGCTGGGGAGGAAGCTTTTTGTACAGCAGGCTGCCGAGCATGCAGGGCTGTGTCAGCACTGCTGGCGCAGAGATACAGGGCCGAGTCCGTCAGCTCCAGCGAGCTCACTTTCAGTTCAGAGCTATAGTCACTAAACTGTTGCACTGAGAATCGGTCAGGGAGGCTTCCTTTTGTTCTCTCCTCTTTGTTGTAATACTCAGTGAGGAACTGGAGGCCCTGGTTCTGGGCTTGTTGGTACCAGAACACGGAGAGGTGCCCAGAGATATAGGAACATCTCAGTGTCACTTGCTGTTTCCTTGCTTTGATCAGGTGTTTTGGGGTCTGTGTGACTCCAGAATCCACTGGGCCTGTTGGGAAGGAGGCAGAGAGAGCTCAGGGCAGGGCAGTGAAGCCTCCCACTGCTGCCATCACCAGCAGGCTGGTATTTCAGGGATGGCAAACCCATATCAGAGGCTTAGAAGCAGTGCCCAGAGCTCACCTGCTCCCAGGAGACAAAGGGTCAAACAGCAGAGAAGCCTGGGGACCATGGCAGCATCCCAAGACATCTTCTGGCTCAGGGAGGAGTCTCCTGGCGTGAGCAGTCTAAAGTCCTACACCTCCCAGTGCCTGATAGGAGCTTTTGCCTATGACATCACTGCTCTGATGTCTTCCCTGCTCTGTGTGACTCTCCATGCAAGCCACCTCCTGGCCCTCTGTACCCCTTGGCCCCAGGGTCAGCTACTCTATTCACCATTCCCTGTCCTGCACAGGCCCTCTGCAAAGGGTGGCTGCAGGTAGAGCTGTCCCCACGTGCCTACAACTTCCCTTATTCTCCTTTACCTAAGCCTAACTCCCCAGCCCTTCCGACCCCAACCCCTACTTCACCCCCTTCACCTGGGAGGGGAAGGCTGCCTCAGGAAGACTGCCTCCTTGGTTCATACTGATGCTCAAGCCCATCTGCACTTCCTGGGCAGTGAGGAGTCTGTGTGACTCCCACAGGCCCCAGGGCCCACAGGCATTTGTCTGTTTGATTAACTCAAACTGCTTCCCCAGTGCAGGAATGTAGCCCCAAAGTTCCCTTGAACTGTCTTCTCCTGGGTCACTCCTTCGACCCCTCCCAGGGCAGCTTACAGTAGTGTAGCTCCACAGCGCCTCCCAGTGGCTGACTATCCACAGTCACATGCATTCACATCTGTCTCTATTAAGAGCAGAAATCCCCTCGCCCCTAAAGTCCCCTCCCCACCCACTCCCTGGTTCGACTGTTTTCCCAGCCTGGCTGATTTAGGGTTGATCTTCAAATCCACCCTTTGTTTTGGAGGCAAAAGTTTGTATGAACCAACATTTCAATGAAGAAGGAAATAATTGCTGCAATCAGTGTGCAAAAATGGGAGAGACAGCCAGAATAATACAGGTCATACAACTAAACAGTGGATCCAGCCTAGAAACAGTCTGTTTCATAGCTCCTCCTATGAATCAGGTCCCTAGATTTCCAAATTTGTATTTAAAGTAATTATTACCACCCTTTAGATAGCACATTTGTATAAAGAAGGATTATATAGTTTACCTATTTAAAACATCTTGAAACAAACAGCCCTACTGTGAGTCCACCGTACCTCCCAGTGAGTTCTAGTTAAGGCAGACCCAGTAGACCTATCCGGGCTGACATATGCTGTCATTACCTAGAATCGCCTACATGCCCTATTCAGTGACAAGCACCTCTAATAAGTACCCATCGGAGTACAACAATTTTTAAATCAGTTTTTCAGGCTCCTTTATGATAAATATCTTTGATGATGGCAAGAGATGTTGCTAAAGGTGTGGTGGGCTGTAAAGGCAAAAACACTTTTTAAGTAAACTTTTCATATTTACTCAGTTGTTAAGTTTGAAACTCAGTCATAGAGAATTATTTGAGAGGCTGATTCTCAGCTATGAGTGTATTCAGTGATGCAAAACTAATGGGAAGAGCTACTCATTTCTGTCTTAAACTTCCCCACCTGACTGACCTCCACCCCTCAGCTGCCACCTCCCAGGACACTGTTTACCTTCCAGTGTCAAATGTGGGCCACCTCTTGGCCTCACCAGTAAATGTTTGCCTGTTCAATTAGCTCTTTAGGGTTTGTGAACTCTCTGAAGCTGAACTCAGGCCCACATTTATGTCCTCATGGAGCCATGTCTATGGGGGGAAAATATTTTTACAGGATCATCAAACTGAACAAATACACTGTAACATACTTTTCTCTGTGCCTGACAAAGCAGTGGCATCTTCAGCTTTAGGTTCACTCAGGGTACTTTAAATGGCTCCTCATCAGTCCCGGCTATGAGAACACGTTGCTGAGATCACACTCAGGAGTGTGGAAAGCCATGCTGGCCCAGAATGACCAGCGTTACATCTCAGTGGACATTGATTTCTTTCATTTATTATTCATTTTACAAGTATCAAAGAGCTTTAATTATAATTTAGTTTTTCCTTTGAAAGTAAAGAGAATGTAGTTGTTATGAATGAAAATTTGCCTCCCTAATCCATATGTTGAAGTCTAGCTACCCCTCTCCCCCAATGCCAGTATACCTGGAAATAGAGCCTCCAGGGAGGTAGTTAAGGGAAATGAGGTAAGAAGGTTGGGACCCTAATCTGTTAGGACTAGTGGCCTTATTAAAGAGGAAGAGACCCCAGAGAGCTCTTTCTAAATACCTGTGCAAGCAGCGAGGAAAGACCATGTGAGTACAGCAGAACCTTCCCCAGAAACCTACCCTAGCCCCTTAATCTTGGATTCCCAGCCTCCAGAACTGTGTCTGTAGTCGAAGCCACCCTGTGTATGGCATTTTATTAGAGCAGCCAGAGCAGACTAATCAATAGTACAGTATTGTGAAAAGTCAGGGCAAGAAGCCAAGAGGAAGGCATGGCTGAGTCCATGCTTGAAAGAGGAGTAGGGCCTTCTATGCTATGGGAATAGCAAGAGCAAATGCAGAAGATTTAAAGGCCGCCCAGCCACCCGTGTTTTAGGAAATGTTGCAAAGAGGCGATTAGTCACAAAGTAGGATTCATCCTGACACTATCAAGAAGAGATGCTCTGAAAGCCACTGAATTAGGATGGTGATGTGTTAGAACACCATTCCAGAAAAACAGAATTTATTTGTGGGGGGATTGGAGCGCTTTTGCCTGTTTATAGTCAGGGGGCATGGCCTCATTTGTGTTTTAAGAGGTGCTTGACTGTACCACAAGAAGGCAAGATTGGGGTAAGAAATCAAGAAGAAAGAAGTCAGAATCAACTGCAGTGTTCTCACATTATCATCTTGTGTGCTGATGGCCTCACCTGGGGCTTACCACTGCGATGCCAGTTGCATAAGGCCTTGCTTTATATTTTCTGGGCATTGAAAATTTTGGGAGGGAAGAGAAAAATGATCATGTTACAAATAACAGGTTTTTTTTCAAATCTTTTCACTTTCTATTTTCAACCATCTTTAAGCTATATTTTCTTTCTTACTATTAGATTTTCCCCCAAATTTCAATTTCCTTTTCATAAATTATGTAAAACAAATTCCAGTGGTTTTTTATCTTCTAAACTACACATATAACCAACAATTTTGATCCTCAAATGAACTATTCTCCCTCCCAAAAGAGGGTGAGAGCTATTACATTACAGAATCTTCTATTTTTATTACATAGAGTGTCAGGCAAGGAAGGTAATTTGGGAGTGAACATATTGATGTAGCATCTGACCAGATCTTTTTGTCTTCTCAGGGACATCTCAGTGTCAATATCTTTCCTCTGGCCTTTATTTCAGAAGAGCCTGAGGCTGCACTTCCCAGGGCTCCATGTCACTCTGAGTTACCACTGTATCCCTAGGTTCCCACAGCCTAGTCAGCATTGCGGTTGCTCCATCCTGGGCCAGGGAGGTTTATGCACAGAACACAGGTGACTCTGCAAGGCTGTGCTAAACTGCTGGCACAGAGGTACAGGGCAGAGTCCTTCGGCTCCAGCAAGCTCATGGTCAGGTTGGAGCTGTAGTCACTGAATTGTTGCCCTGAGAATCGATCAGGGATGTTTCCCTTTGCTCTCTCCTTCCTGTTGTAGTACTCAATGAGAAACTGGAGGACTTGGCCCTAGGCCTGTTGATACCAAGACCCAGAGAAGTGCCCAGAGATAAGGGAACATGCCAGGGTCACTGTCTGTCCTCTGGCTTTTGTCAGGTGCCTTGGAGTCTGAGTGACTTCTGAATCCACTGGGCCTGTGAGGGAAGGAGACAGAAGCTGGAAAAAGAACAGGGCAGGGACCCTGATGCTGCCTTGGATTCAAGGTTAGAACAGATGTTCCACATGTGCCACGGACATACCTGCTCTGAGGAGACAAAGGGCCACACAGCAGAAGAGCCTGGAGCCCATGGCAGGGAGGGCAAACTGGACAGGAGTCTCCTTGCTCAGAGTTCCGGTCTTCTAAGAACTAATGTTCTGGGCACCTTCTGATTGGAAGTTAGGCATCACTGCTTTGATGTCATTGTCTCTGCTGGTTCCCATGAGCCTGGCCTCCTTTGCCAGGTCCCTGGATCAGCTGATCTAGGCACCCTGCTTTGTCCTGCAAAGCCTCTTTTTTTTTTTTTTTTTTTTTTTAAATATACTTTATTGATTTTTTTACAGAGAGGAAGAAAGAGGGATAGAGAGTCAGAAACATTGATGAGAGAGAAACAGCAACCAGATGCCTCCTGTACACCCCCTACTGGGAATGTGCCCACAACCAAGGTACATGCCCTTGACCAGAATCGAACCTGGGACCCTTGAGTCCGCAGGCCGACGCTCTATCCACTGAGCAAAACCTGTCAGACCCTGCAAAGCCTCTTGCATGACATGTGTGGCTGGAGGGACTGGTGGAGGTGGGCTGGGCTTAGGTAGCATGCTGGTCCCCACAACCCCTTTGCTTTTCCATGAGGTTGTTAACGAAAAAAAACCATTGAATCCTGTACAGAATTTTGTAATGAGTTTATTTGAGCCAAAAATGTCGACAATTGCCGGGAAGCAAAAGCTCAACAGATTGAGATAGTGCTCCGAAGAATGGTGGATTACATTTCTCTATTTATACACCGAAATCAAAGGAGGGACATAGGTGGGTTACATGAAATTCATTGGTGATGGAGTAAGGAGGCGGGAGAAAGCAAAGCGGTGGGAAACTCCTGGGATTGGATAAAAGTAAAATGATGAATGTATACTCAGGTGAGTGCAGGAACAATTAATATGATAAAGAAGGAATTTGAGGCATCTGTCCTGGCGCCCACCACATTTGGTTGTTCCCCAAGGGCTCCGGAAAAAGGGAAGTTACAAGTTACCCAGACGTCTCACAGATATGTTATCTCAGATGCAGGAAGGCAGAGGGGCTCAGTAAAAGATCAAAGTTGATCTTTGTCAGGTGAAATCTCTGGGACATGACTACCTACTATAACCTGTTAGATATTTAATTTTCAGACCATCTCTTGTGGTTATCTTAGGTCTCTGGGTTTGCAAAACTGCCACACAGGCCTTCCCTGAGCTTGTCAGGTTAGCTTGTGGCTCTTTTCTTTCACAAGGTAATTGTTCCTCTACCTGTCCCTGCTCCCAGGGCATGCAGGCTGCCTCCTACCAGCTCTGCACTCTTCACTTTCCTTTGCAAGCTCAGAGAGCCCCCTAATCTCTGCACAGTTGAAATTCATGACTTCTGACTCGGACAGCATCTGCAAATTAAGTCCTATAGCAGATAAAAACACCAAACAAGGCTGTTGCTTAACTCTCTCGGCCCCAGGCTCTGCTCCAGAAACTTCTGGAGCTCAGCAGTTCCACAGTGCCCCCAGGTGCTGTGTTTTGGCAGTAACCAAGATGTAGAGTTAGCCACAATATAAGAGGGCAAGAGTTTTAAGATGTGTTTAAATTAGGAATGACTTTCTCATTTGCTTATTGCCCTGTGTTTTTCTTTTTTAATTTAAAGGTATAAAAATCCAGTTCTATCTGATTTGAGATTTTTTTTTTTTTTTATTGTAAGAAAAAAAAAGATGGTCATGGAGGTGGACTGCAGAGAGACTCCCAAGGATTTGTTGTTGTTGTTGTTGTTAATTCTCACTTGAGGATATTTTTCCATTGATTTTTTAGAGTGGAAGGGGTTGGGGGAGAGACAGAGAACAACATCAATGTGACAGATACACATCAATTGGTTGCTTCCCACAAGTTCCCCTTCCAGGACAAGAGATCAAGCTTTCAACTAAGGTACTTGCTCTGCTCTTGGCTCAAACCATACCCGGGACCCCTCAGTCTGCATACTTTATCCACTGAGTTGAACTGGCTAGGGCATCCCAAGGATTTTTTGATGATTAATAATTAGCAGAAGTTGGTTTTTAAAAAAAAAAAAAAATTTTTTTTTTTTGATTTCAGAGAGGAAAGGAGAGGGAGAGAGGGATAGAAACATCTATGATGAGAGAGAATCATTGATTGGCTGCCTCCTGCATGCCCCCTACTGGGGATTGAGCCCGCAACCTAGGTATATGCCCTGATCTGGAATTGAACCGTGACCTCCTGGTTCATAGTTCAACATCAACCACTGAGCCATGCCAGCCAGGTAGCAGAAGTGGTTTTATCTTTGTTGACTCCAACAGCTAGTTTAAGGCAGATAATTTAGACAGGCCTCTTTGCAAGGTGCCCGCTGATCAGCTTAACACCTGTTGGAAGGTGCCCATTACCTTCACTGGCAGAGAGGTGTAGATAAGGAAACTGGAAGGCTGATCAACTTTGAGGCTCTGGCAAGGGTCAGAGCCATACACTCACTGTCTCTTGTAGACAAAGGGAGCTGAAGCAACTTCCACCTTTTAGTCTTATGTAAATCCTTGCTGATGGGCTATCATGGAGCTATTACTAGAATTACCTGCCTAAGGGCTATAGGTGGATCCCAAACCTGAATAAAAGGGATCAAAAGGACGGAACAAAGCGTAGTCCTCTTTTGGGCTTCCACCTGACCCCCAATTCCCAAATTAATATTTTCTTGTCTAGTCTTTTTCATTTGTGTGCTGCCTCCTCCAGAGTCCGAACTCTGAACCTGAACCCTGAACCATGTGCAGGTTGTGGGGGGGACACTTGCAACTGGCAGCCCAATGTGGGGCACTCGCAACTACCCCCCCCCCAACTTAAAAATAATATTAGTTGTTCGCATACTGATGGAAAAGATTTTTTTTTCTACTCTCTCTTTTCAGAAATCCTCTCTTGCCTCTGTTCATTGATAATAATATAATTCCCATTTCCCCAGATGGGAGCATGCATGTGTATGTAATTAATTTTCTCTAAGTTGTTCTCGGATGCCCAAGTAGAAAATAAAATACTCTAGCCCTCTCTATTTAGTCTGCTAGGAGGTAGTGGCCAGTCTGAATAAATAAAAAATAAACAAAGGGACTTAGGAAAACAGAATCTGATAAGGATTCAACTGCAGAACCAGGATGCACAGAAAGACTCCCAGGAGCTGGAGTTGGTGGAGTTGGTGAACTCCCAGGAGCTGGAGTGCATGGACCACAAGTGACTATAGCTGTGCACCCCTGTTACTGAAAGTAGAGGACAAATACCCAATCCAGGGTAAAGGGTCAAGTCTAGCTTGCTTACACTCTATTAGAGGGGATGTTTAATGGTAACTTTGTTTTTCTGAGACAGGTACCCTTAAGCACATCTCCTTTGCCTATAAATTCAACACTGGCCAATAGATCAGTCTTAGGCCCGGTCCTGGGTTTTGTTGACACCAGTACATTGGCAAGTGGTTCACTTTCTAAGAACATTCAAAGACCAGCTTCGTTTTTATCTCTATAATAGGGATCTTGGCATCTGCTTAACGTGCACATTCATGGCTTCTGTTCATTGTCCAGGTGAAGGAAATACTAAGGATCTGGAATTGCAAAGCCTACATCCAAAGTCTCCTTCTGTTTCTTGGACTCAATGGCTCCCAAGGCCACAACACAGAGTAGCCGGTACACATGGCAGATTGAGGAGTAGGGGTGTTCCCCAGCTCAATGCTTTGGTGTAGGGGCGGGCACCCTAAGCCTTACTGCCTGTGCAGACACGTGATGCCTCTGGCTCAGCCCCATGTGTCCTGGAGCATGCTGGCCCGCAGGCCCTAAGTGAAATACTGTAGCTGCAGAAGGGCCCTTGGAGAATGTGGCCTTTAGGACAGCTAGGCTGGGTGTGAAGACCTGACTAAACACACAAGCAGGATCCACTCTCTTCACCAACAGCCAATTCAGAGCCATGATCTAAAGGCATGAACTCTATGACTCACAGTTCTGATCAAGAGACTGAAGGGAAAATCAACCACACTGGACGAGGAAACTATTACCCTCAGCAGTGGGAAGGAGGTGTTTTTAAAAGGTCTGAGCACATCTGGAGCTGGGATCAGGGCTGTGGTCCTGGCCTAACTTGGTTGGAAAGAGCAGTCAGGGAAAGATATCTATTAGAAGCAGGCTTGGTAGGCCCGCTGTGACCAGGGTGTGAGGTGCCTCATGAAAGATTTCCCAGGGAACAAGCTGATAGGAAGAAAATGAAGAACTTGAACCTTTCTGTCCAGGCATAGTCATGTTCAAGACAAGTCCAGCCGCAGGCTGTTGGTGTCTGCACGGGATTTAACATTGCCATAGCCAGTGAAGTGACAGGCAGCACTGTACTCTGGGCTCTCACGGGAAATGCTGAACTGAGCCTTGGTTGCCCACAGTTTCCTGACTGGACCCAGGAGGTTTCTGCACAGGCAGAAGGTGACTCTGCAAGGCTGTGTCCTTGCTGCTAGCACAGAAGTACACGGCGGAGTCTTCTGGCTTCAGGGCATCCACGTAAAGGTATAACTGAGAGCTGTCTGAGCAGTTGGGTAAGAAGCGTCTCGGGACAGTGTTATTTTCAATGAGTTCCTTATAGTTGTAGATAAACATGAGCTCCAGTGGCTTCTGAGCACTCTGTTTATACCAATACATAGAATTATGTCCCAGATGTTGTTTGCATTCCAAAGTCTTCTTATTTCTCATTCCCATGACCAGGTATCTTGGCGTCTGAGTAATTCTAGTATCCATGAGGACTGTTGGGGGAAAAGAGACAAAATTCAGACAAAGCCCAGAAAGAAGGGTTTTGCTGCAGCCACAGGGGAATGGCTTGGAACCCAAGGACTGCCATTTGAGCCCAGCACTCACCTGTTCTCAGGAGACAGAAGGCCACACAGCAGAGCAGCTTGCAGCCCATGGCGGAATCAGAATGAGTGGCGTCTTCTAACTGGGATATTCTGGCAGGGGGGCTGGGCTCTGGTTTCTTTGGCCTTGGTTGGTGCTTCTGTCTATGATGTCATTGTCCCTGACAGTTTCCCTTGCCACAGGGGACAGTCCTGCCTTCCCCTTTCATGCCTTATATAGATTCTGATAAAGGATGGATTTCAATGGACCAGAATGAGTTATCCCTCTGGCAGCTGCTCTTTTGCTATTAGCTGCCTTCCTCATTACACAGTTTCTCTATCCTTCTCCCTCCCAGGACTCCTCTCAGCCACAGACCATTTCCTCCTTCCTTCCCTGCTCAGTCAGGCAGGATATCACCCAAAATTCCATTTCCCCTCAGTGTCTGGGCTCATTGGAGGCCTTTGCCCAACTGCACAGAGGGAAGTAGATTGGATGGAATAGTGCTCATCATTTAAAGAGCATGATTGTGATGCAGGCCCAGAACCAGACACTGGGAAGGGTGCTGAGGGAACCATACAAGGGACAAACAGTGTCTGCCTCTGTATTGAGGGTACAAGGCTTGGCTGGGCTTAGAGCAAACAGGTTGCTAAAAGAGAACACAGGCATTGGTGCAAAACAAAGGGAAATCAATTTGAAAAAGATTTTAGTTGAATATTGTTGGGATGTCTGCAACTGATGCCCCCATAGGACATAAAGATGGAATCTCAAAGCCCTAGCTTCCCTCCTCATCCCACCTCTCCACTGACTCCCAGTCCCTTTCCTTCCCCCCAGTTAAGAGGTTTCAATAGAACCTCAGCTCCTCCTTGTGGCCAAAGCAGCATATTCCCCAGATCTCAGGCCTCTGACCAGCCCAGTATCCGCAATCCAGACCAATTCCTCATTCCATAGGCTGGATATGAAAATCTAGGGAAGTTTGATGAGGAAAGAAACATCTAAAATAAAAATAGTTGCCAACAGTACCACTCATCCACCTAGGACAGTCAATGTTTGCTCAACAGAGATCGGCTATGTCTGGTTTCTTATTTTTTATTTTTATTATTTTAAAAAAAATATACTTTATTGATTTTTTACAGAGAGGAAGGGAGAGAGAGATAAAGAGCTAGAAACATCGATGAGAGAGAAACATCGACCAGCTGCCTCTTGCACACCCCCTACTGGGGACGTGCCCGCAACCAATGTACATGCCCTTGATCGGAATCGAACCTGGGACCTTTCAGTCCACAGACTGACGCTCTACCACTGAGCCAAACAGGCTTCGGCTGTCTGGGTTCTTAGTAATAAACAAAACACAGCCCTGCAGATGCCATCCCAGGCTATATGGAGCTTATAGGCCAGCTTGACTGGTTCAACAAATGCTCACTGAGCAAGTGCTAGGAACAAGCACAAAATGTCATATTCACCCACACAACTCTATTGTAGTGAGGTCATCAAACACACTCACAGATAATGACCAGGGAATAAAACATATCATATGATGTTTGAGAAATGTATTCTGTATTCAAGTGATTAAATCACTTTATATGTGTGACATTCTATAATATTCAACTATTACATAACAGGAACTGCAATGATATGACCCCCAGCGACTTGTCCATTGATAAAATGTTAGAAATCAAACCAGGCCGATCATTTCTATAAGATGGCTTTCCAATTTGGGGCTAGCTAGGATGACCTACTGTGAGCCATTTCTGCTTCACTAAACAAATTACCTGTTTGTGCTTTTTAGATGATTAGTTATTGGAATATCACGTATTTTTTATATGTGCCATTTTGCCAACATTGAATTTTTATTTTAGAAAATGTAAATGTATGAATAAACATGAAAATGAAATTATATATAACTGCTAAATGATTTTTACCATTTATTATTATGTTAGGTATTTATTACCAAGCTAGAGTAACAAGAATTTATATCTATCTATGTTGGAGGGAAGGAGGTTATACATGCTTTAAGTCAAGAATTGATGATTAAATTCCTTTTAGCTTAAAGATGTGCTGGGTCAGAAAGAAAATATTAGCATTTTTATAATGTGACAAATTTTATGAGATTTTTAATGTGGCCTGTAAAAAATGCAAAAAATTTAAGCAAAGGGGTAGGACATTCTCCCCCTGAGAATGTTGTGTATACTAGTATAATGGGCCTCCAATCCACTACAGTTGGAGATATTCCATTCTCAAATAAGAACCTAAAATTGGCCCTCATTAAAATGCTAAAATTATTGTTATTACAATTATAACAAGAAGACATTCCAATTGGCCCCTCTACATAAAACAACAAAAGTCTGAATAAATAGAATTTCATTGCATTGTTTGGCTCCCAATAAATAAGAAAAATTCCAAGGATGACAAAAAACAAACACAGAATTTAAATTGAAACCTCAAACAACGAAAGTGAAAAGCTCTGTTGCCCTGAAACATTAACTAAAATAAATATTTCCCAAAGCAAGTGGTAGATGAAAAGTAAGTTTAAGTTATTTGAATTAGGGAATGTGCCTGAAGAAAGAAAATAATCTAAGGGTAGTCTCAATTGCATGAAGGAATAGTGAAAAAGTGAATAGTTAATAGAGAAGTATATTCAAGCAAACATTGTCTATTTAAAATAGTAATGGCATATGTTGCTTGCAAGTAATTATGAAAGACATAACTGATTCCAAGACATCTCAGATTTGGGGTATAGAGTACTGAAAAGGAGCCCCAAGAATTAACGTAAGGAAATCCCTTTTCCTTGGCCAGTTTCTAATGTATATACACATGATGGACTCCAGAAGGTTCAGAGGAAAACAGGTGGTGAAAGGCTGGAGAGCTGAGATTTCAGAAGATAGTTTCGTTGGCAAATATGCTGCGATTCCCACTGAGACCCCAGAAAGGCCATGCACTAGTAATAAGGACAGATGCCAGCCCCGCCCCCTCCCCCAAAAAAGAAGGGACAAACTAAAATAAACCCCGCATTTAAACCTGCCAGGATAAATCCTAACACTCTTTATAAGAACACTAGAGGCCCAGTGTATGAAATTCATGCACAGATAGGGTCCCTAGGCCTGGCTGGCGATCAGGGATGATCTGTGGGATGATGGAGGGGCAATTGGGGGATCTCCACTGGCATCCACCTTGGCTGGCCTGGGGCCTGCAGGTTGGGGGCAGCTCCTACATTGAGTGTCTTCCCCCTGGTGGTCAGTGAGCATCATAACGACTGGTCATTATGCTGTTCGGTTGATTTGCATATTTGGCTTTTATTATATAGGATAACATAATCCAGTCTCTATTCTAGATCACCCACAATGTCCCACATAAATCCCTTTATAATCTTTTATGTAGAAAATTTAGGAGTCTCTTTAGTAGTTCATTCCACCCAAAATCTATTCCCCTTTTGACCCATACTGCTACCATTGTTATTGTACCAAAATAAAAATTTATCATGTTATCTCACTTAAGGTAGGATCAAAGACTAGCTTAGCTGCCACCTAGAAATTTGTGCCCATTTTTTTCTTTACATGTCTCATAATATTCTCCATCATCTGGCTACTGTCTTCTCTGGAGGACACTTGTGAGATGACAATCAGAATTAGGAACAATCATACTGGTCATCCTTCTGAAAGAGAGTCTGTAATGCACAAGTGTACCTCTAGTACCTCACTTACCTGCTCCCAGGAAGCAGAGGGCCACACAGCACAGGAGCCTGGAGCCCATGGTGGATTCAGGGCATACAGGCAAGGCCTTAGCCCAGGATTCTGCTCTCTGGTGGTAAGAAGACCAGGCTACAGTGCTCTTCTGCCTTAGCCTTGCTTTCTAGTTTATCTATTGCCATAGATTTCATGCTTCTTCAAATATTTTTTTTATATTAACCAGGGAACTCACTGATAATCTAAATTTCCTTTTGGTCTTAGAAACTTCACCTCTCCTTTTAGTTTTCACTCATCAAACATTTTTCACCAGAAGTGTTTTTTTTTTTTTTAAATAATATTCTTATGTATAATATGCATATCATGTATAAGATGTATAAGAGCCAAGAAAGGAATAGCTTCTTCCATCCGTTAAGATCTTCAGTGCCTGTGACAGGGCCATTACTTGTTTGTAGAGTCCTGAGTACTTCAGTAAATTTTTTAAAATATATTTTATTGATTTTTCACAGAGAGGAAGAGAGAGGGATAGAGAGTTAGAAACATCGATGCGAGAGAATCATCGATCAGCTGCCTCTTGCACACCCCGTACTGGGGATGTGCCCGCAACCAAGGTACATGCCCTCGACCGGAATCGAACCCGGAACCTTTCAGTCTGCAGGCAGATGCTCTATCCACTGAGCCAAACCAGTCCCAGCTACTTCAGTAAATTTATTAGCAATCCCTGCTCAAGCTGATGAGCAGAATTGGGAAGACTTTTGAGCATACAAACTGAGAACTACCCTATTAGGCACTGTGAGCTATACTACAGATGAAACTCCAGGCAGGGGTCTCCCAGCAGGATGTGTTGGGTGAACATGTTGTTCCCACAGCTTCCTGGCCAGGCCAGCAGGTTTGTGCACAGGGAGGCAGTGACTTTGCAGGGCTGTGTCTTGGCTGCTAGCACAGAAATACACGGCAGAGTCACCTGGCTCCAAGGAGCTGATCTGAAGTTTCAAATGAGCTTTGTCGGAAGATTTAGGTAAGAAACGACTTGGAACTGTCTCATTTAGAATTAGCGCCTTATTATTGTAGGAAAACATAACCTTCAGCAATTTCTTGGAGTCCTGCTTATACCAGTACATAGCATCATGGTTCAGCTTTTGTTCACAATTTAGGGACTTCTTGTCCCCTACCCATGCAATGAGGTATTTTGGAGTCTGGAAAACTGCTGTGTCCAGGGAACCTGAGAAGAAAAGAAACATAATTCAGACAGTCCTAGGAGGCAGCCTGTTGCTGGAGATGTGAAAGGGCGTAGAGACTCAGAGTGGATCGTGCCACCTGGGCCCCTCACTTACCTGCTCCCAGGAAGCAGAGGGCCACACAGCACAGGAGCCTGGAGCCCATGGTGGATTCAGGGCATACAGGCAAGGCCTTAGCCCAGGATTCTGCTCTCCGGTGGTAAGAAGACCAGGCTACAGTGCTCCAAGCCCTGAGAGGTGCGTTGCTGTAACGTCACAACCTAGAATGATTTCCCAATTCTCAAGCTCTCCTCACACGTGTTCTCTTCCTTTTTCACCTCCTACACTTGCTCCTTTCAAAGGAATTTGGGATTTCTAGGGACAGTTTGAGGGGGTGGGCATGTTGTCTCAAGGATGTTTCTCTGCCATCATCCTTATGCCAATAGCTGCCTCCCTCTCCGTCTCTGCCTTAGCATCTGGCCACTTCCTCTCTTCCTCTTCCTCGTATGCCCCCTCTCAGAATCTGTCTGGACTCCTTCACAATAATGCAGGATGATACTACCCACATCTTGCCTCCTCTGCATATCTGACTTACACTCAGACATTGTGTCAGTTGTGGGACACTGCCTATGAGGTGCCCCCTGAGAACCAGCTATAGGCCATTTCCCATTGCCTGGTTTGATGCTAGTTAGGAGCAAATCCAGTTAATGAGTCCTTGAGTTTATTGAAAGGGACAAACTGCAGCCCTGCTCCCTGTGATATTCTTATCTGTCCAGGGACCAGAGCCATGTGGGGAATAAGGGGCTGCTAGGGAGTTAGAAGTCAGATGTGATATGAGTAAAGAAGTGATAGAGGCGAGTAACAGCATGGAGTTGTGGAAATGTAAGTGGATTGATTTGACTATCCTTGAATTGTCTACAAGTCACCTTCTCTTTTGGTAACAGCTTATAACTCAGTGTCTAACTTAGGGTTTCTCAGCCTCAGCACTACTGACATATTGCACAGGATTATCCTTTGTTGTGGGGGCTGTCCAGTGAAGACAGAATGTTTAGCAGCACCCCTGGTCTCCATGTACTACATGCCAATAGCACTGCCCACCCCCCAGTTATGACAAGCAAAAATATCTCCAGATATTGCCAAATTACCCTTCTTGAAGCCCAGCTTCTCCTTTATTCTTTCCACCTGTCCTTGACCAACCTCAAAAGTTTTGGTGGGGCCACAGCACCTTCTAGTGGTCAACAAGGCACAGTTCTCAGCCCTTAATAAACCCAAGTCAGCAAGGACTGGGGTAAGGCCAGGGAACCAGGACTGCCACAGAGTCACATAGGTTGGTCCCCCCCCCTGCCTCTCTCTCTCTCTCTCTCTCTCTCTCTCTCTCTCTCTCTCTCTCTCTCTCTCTCTCTCTCCTTCCCTCCCCCTTCCTCTACCTCTCTCCCCCTCTCCCTCTCTCTCTTTCTGTTTCTGTCTCTCTTACACAAACACTGTTTGGAAACACTAACTGTCAATTCCTTGTAAAACCCCTTCAAAAACAGTCAATTCCTTGTAAAACCCCTTCAAAAACAGCTCCCCCATGGTGTTTTTTTTTTTTTTTAACTGAACACCAAACAAGCACTAGAGATACAGTAGTGAACAAATCAGAAACCACCACCATCCTTGGTGGAATGTCTAGCATGCTTAATTTGTTGGTGGTCATTGAATGGTTTCTTAGTGCAAATCATGTATAAGACAATATGCTCACTCTCATGATGCTTATATTCTGATTAAAAAAAAACAACTCAGAGATTCTCCTAGACTAGAAATATCAAACAGGTGCCATATGGAGGTTAGGAGTATAATAAATATTAACACAGTTAAATAATGTCCTTTGCATGGTGTCTCATTTCCTCATCTATAAAACAATGGGCTGACACACATAATTTCCCAGTCTCCAGTTTTAAAGTTGTATGACCAGAGATACCCCTAGATGTTGCCATGGGTATAAAACTGGGCATCCAGTGTACCAACAACCTACTTCATTGTACCACATAGCTTATATGTGCAGCTTTCCCAAGAAAGGGAGAGAGGGGAGTAGAGTGAGGAAGAGAGGGAGGGAGGAAACCAATAGTAAAAAACATGGATAAGGGGCTACATATAATACTAATTCTGCACTTAAGAAGGCGTGACTATGGTCAATGAGTAGATTTCAGATGAATTATTTACTTAAGTGTTTTTTGCGAATGCTCTTAAAAAATCAGCTGCACACAGGCCAACAGGATGCAGATGAAACTGCTATAAAGAAACATGTGCCACATGGGCATAGGGTTAGTCATGGTTGTTGACTTACATTTTCAACAGGAGAGGTAGAAAACAAGAATTTTTTGTTGCCTATTAAGAATTGTCCAAAGGATAGGATGACATAAAGAAATGGATTCTCTGCCCCTTTTTTGCAGGGGAAGCCTCCACAGAAAGAACTGTCGCTAGGTGCTTGGGAAATGTTGGGTTTGATTACAGCACAAAAGTTAAGAAGGGAAGAAATATGCAATAAATTTAGCATGAAGATAACTTCATTCACAGAACGGTGGGGAGTCCTACAACCTGTGGGGATGAGGTACAAGAAGAACTGGAACAAAGGGGGAGTAGGCTGGATGATAGCAGGATGCCTATTGTGGACACTGGTCATAGATGGGGTTGTCCAATATTAAACTCCTGCTTATATTTGAACAACCCCCAACAGTTTGGGTATTCATGAGAAAAGACGTGTATGTTGGGATCTTTAAAAGTTGAATCTTCTTTTCATTCTAGAAGCAAGACCTCCATCATTGCCTCCACTTTTTTGTGACTTTAACAAGGACACAACTCCACTTGGCAGAGCTTTCTCCACCAGTTCCCCGAGAACTCAGCGGGAAGATCAGGCTGTGTGGTCTGGGATAAGGGCAGAGAAGGAAAATGCCTTGTGTCTAGTTCTGTCAAATTTAGTTACCTGGACATAGAGCTCTGTGAAGATTAAAGTTACATCAGACTTAGTCTCTCTTTTCACTGGTGCTCAGAACTGATTTCTAGGGTCTGCTAGGGGACAAGGGCCACAACTCCCCTTCTATTCTGCTCAACTGGCTCTTAGTTATTGGTGGCTCTGACCTTGAAAAAGTCCCTTTTCTTTCTGATAAAAATACAAAGTCAGCATACGCATTGACTCTTTTAAAAATATATATATATATTATTGAATTTTTGAAGATAAGAGTGATAGAAAGATAGGAACATTAATGAAAAACATCATCGATCAGCTGCCTCCTGCACACCCATCTTAGGGGATTGAGCCTGCAACTCAGGCATGTGCCCTGACTGAGAATCAAACCAGTGATCTCTTGGTTCCTTGCTCAGTGCTCTGCCATGAGCTGCACCAGCTGGGCACACATTGACTCTTGAGGTCATATGCCTCAGGTGGACCAATGGCCATCAGTTTTCCAAATGAAAATTCAGATCAAAACCAGAGGGGACCGTCTGCTCCCACAGGTCATTCACCTTCATAAATCATCAGTTCATGCTATCGGCCTGTTTATGATAGCTATTGAAATTTCATTTAGCCAGTCAAAATATTTATGCTTACTATTTCTATTATTGTATGAATTATAAATATTTAATCTTCAAGTTATTTGAAAGTAATATGAGCAATAATTTAAAAAAATTAAATGCAGTACTATGGTGTGTGGGCATTATTTATTAACTTTCAAATGTGATTATGTGTCACCTTATTTTTATTATTTGGAAGAAGCTATAAATGTTTTGTGGAATGAGGGAAGTCCAGGAGGATACTGAATTCTCAAGCCTTGAGTTAAAGTTAGTCACATAGAATATTCAATATTGACTTTAGAAGTGTGAAGTGTGTTTTCCTGCGGTTTCTAATGTTTATAACTTTCAACAAATGTTGACAGTTGCTCATAATACAGAAAGTTAAATAATTTCTATCCAAGCATAGGCAAATGAGTTTATTGTCTTTAGCAGATTCATTCTAAGACGAATTACAAAATCAACTTTCACAAAAGGACTAGTCATTTTTCTGTTAAACTGCTTGTGAGCTAGACTTTCACTTTTGGACAGTTGGGTAGAATAGATATTCTGAAACTTCCTTCTTCTACATACAGAGAGAGTTGACATAAAATATAATTTTGTGGACTGCCAAGATTTTTAAGAAATAAGGAAAATTCCAAAAGTTAAAAACAAAAACAAAAAAACATCAGGAGCCTTGGGTGAAAGCAAAATGAGAAGCTCCTTTCAGATCTGGGATGTGAATGTGTGTCTTTTCTATCTCTAGGTGTTGTGGTATCAAGTGTTCTTGAACCTGGACAATTCTAACTGCCATAGGTCATTGGATTGGAGATATGGACCAGAAGGAAATTTGATTATGGTATTTTGATAGAACCATTTCATCAGATCCAGAAGGGCTTCCTATCATTTTCTGCTCCAGAACTCAGAAGACCACCAGGCAGAGGGACAAGAATAAAACTGTTCCTTACTCTGGAGTGAGGGACATGTGGCTCTAGGGCTCCTCTAGCCAATAAATAGACATCCCTAAATTATTGTAATCTCTGCAAGATCCCAAGAAACTTCTGGCCTCTCAGTGCCTGAGTCCAGGAGCTCCATCCCAGCAGGCTGGACTGAGCTGAGAGGAGGCGGACAGCATTTAGGTATAATTTTATGCATTGGTATGAACAGAATGCTGAGCCCCAACCCTAGTCCCAGCCTTCTTGTTGTCTCAGGAATGTCCTTCACCTGCATCTGCCTGTGGGCTCCACTGTCCCCACCTCAAACTCCTCTTCCTTCTAACCCCCTGCAGGCTCCCGTGCAATTGGTCTGGAGGTACAGGCTGGGACAGAAACACCTGCAGATCAACACAGAGCAGAACACTCTGTATTTAACCCCTCACATATCAGCACTGACTCCCAGCCTCTGCCAACCCCATTCTTCCATGTTGTACACAAAACCAGACTTGCCCTTAACCCTCTCCCATCCAGGGAGTTTCCTCAACCCTCCCTCAGAGCTCCCTGCATCTCAGTAGAGTCATAGCTCCTCCTTGTGGCCACAGAGAAGCCCTGTGCCTGGACCCAATTCTCCCACAGAGACAGTAAGGCAGTACAGGTCTGAGAGAGAAGGACATGCAATCAGAGGACTGTAATTAGGCCCCAGCCCGCC